ATTGTTGTTTGGCGGGTCCGGGCTGGGGATTCGAACCCGCCACCTTAGGTGTACGTGGCTGGCGCCTTAGCCGGTTGAGCTATAGGCGCCAAGCCAGTCTTTCCAATTCTTAAAATAAAATTATAGAGTCGTTTGGAAAGTTTTCCATTGCATAGATGAAAAGATGGGACTCAAAAGTTAGCTGTCTAAATAAAGACATATAAGAAATTAGGCTGTGTGTGGGTACTCAACACCTATAGTCCTAGTACTTTGGGAGGCTGAAGCAGGAGAATTGCTTGAGGCCAGGGGAATAAGACCTGCCTGGGCTGTAACACACTAAAACCCTATCTCTACACAAAATAGATAAATTAGTTGGGCATGGTGGTAAGCACCTGTATTTCTAGCTACACTGCAGAGTTTGAGGCTGTAGTGAGTTAGGATTGTGTCACTGCACACCAGCCTGGGCAACAGAATGAGGCCCGAAAAGAAAAGTTGGTGTCAGATCTAATTGGTTCAGTAATGTGTTTTTTGTGTCACACTAGTTTTTACTTTATAAATATGAGCCTTTTTTATAGGTACCAAATGCTAATGCCAAATTTCCTAGCATTTGCTTTGATAACCTATGCTGAGGCCAGGAATTCAAATACCAATAAGTCATAGACCTTGCCTTTGGGCTCACAACCTGACCCATGTACCATCTTTCATGGCAGTTAAGGCCTCAGCCTGCACTGTCACTGTTTTTTGAAACTTGTTTCCCAACGTTGAGGAATTGGTAATTTGAATGGTTTTAAGTATTCTTTTGTTTGACAAATAATTATATTTAATGAGTGGTTACTATGTGTTAAACATTGGTTTGGTTCAGATGATGCAAAGATGAGTATGATTGACCAGATCTCTGCCACTGTGGTGGGGAACACAAATTAAGTGCAGTGAGAAATAGAAGTAGGATATTGTGGTAGACCAAAGAGAGCCTTGTAGGCCATGGTGAGGACCTTTCATAGCTAAGTAGGCACAGGGAGAATGGCTACATAACTCTGGCAGTGGTTCTTATTTATCTACCATTGGGAAGAAGTCTTCAGGGCCCATAGTGTTGGGCCAGGTGGTGCTTATGAATTGGGCCAGTGATGATTGCTCTGGGTCTTGGACTAATCTGCTTTCTTCTTCTTTGCACTAGGGTATGGAACACCATATGGTTACAGTACAGCTGCCCCTGCTTATGGTATGTACACTGCCTTACTGATATCTCCTGTTAGCAACTATCACAACATTCCAAAGCACAGTTTGTATCTAGGGTTTCTGTAAATGAATCAGAGGATCTCAGACCTATTATTCTAGTGACCCACCTTAAATTCCCTTTGAAAATGCCACAACCTTGTGGTTCTTGGTTTGGTTGGAGTTGCTCTTCTCCGCTTTGCCTGATTGAAGGACTGCTTGTTCTAATTGCCTGTTTCTGACCATATTGGAATTAAATATTTTAAGTAGTTCTTCTTACAGCCAACTTACACTCCATTCAAAGGCTACTGAAGGGCCATACTCAGTTTCTAGCTTGGCTGGCTTCCCATTATATAGCGACATTACGTTTAAGTTTCTGGTTTGGAACTGTGTTGAACTATGTGTAATTTGAGTCAAGAATAGGAAATGCTCACTTCAAATTTGTAGCCATCATCCTTTTTCATAAATTTTGCTTTGAGGGTGAAGTAAATGGGTGTTGTTAGTTTTAGAAAGGAGGTAATGGGGGTATTACCAGCAGCGTTACTTAAGTCTGTAGTACATGGTAGAATATCATAGGTGTTTCTCTTTTCTCTTTCAAAATGAATAAATAAAAGCAAATGCGTAAATGAACCCTAGTGGCCCTTTGGATAACTTTTGAATGAGGTTTATGTGGCAATGGAGGCAATAGGTTTGGAGTCAGTGATATGCTCTTAGACATTTTTCCTAACTCAGGTGCTCCATCTTATAGTATATCAGCCATCTGTAGGATGTTGTCATTGAGAGAAGAGAGCACTAGATTGTGTGTGCGTGTGTGTGTGTGAATGAGAGAGAGAGAGAGAGAAAGAGAGAATGCTCCAGGCTGGGTGTCCACACACACAGAAGAGAAAGGCCCTTCCTGTATCGCCACTCGTGGCCTTGGTCTTGTACATGAGCCTCAGACCTTCGCATTGTGCTTCTCCTCTTCACACATCTGCTTTGCCATTTTTGTTTGGATGAAAATTGTGGGTCCTTAAGCCACTGCTAAACTGAATCTTCATGTGATTTCATAACTGTAGAAATAAGGATAAAGTAAATACCTTGCCCAATAAGATAGACACTTTACATCCTGGAAAGATGTGAAGTTACAAGGGTCAGACATTTGGTGCAGGTTTTCTTCAAGGCAGAGTATGGAACCTGGACTTAATATCCTTGACCTGTATGTCCCCTCTGGCACAATCAGATATGGTCAAGGCTTCCCTGTATTTTGAGCTGGAGCAACACGGGGTGATTAGGAATTGGGGATGAATCTAAGAATGTACATTAACCCAGATTTCCTTCTAAATTTAAACTCTCTAATGCCTTTTGGCCATTTACTTTTACCATTCAGCTAGCTTCTGGATATCCTGACCACCTCATCCTTCCTGTGAATTAGGTCTGGTCAGTTTATTCAAATATATTTTGACTCACTAGACTCACTGTACTGTGTCTTGTGTAAGTGCCAAAACATTCCGGGGCAAGTTTTCTGTGTCGTTCTTTTAGATCATATAGTTAAGTTTCACATTGTTTAGGAAAGGTTTGCTAGAGCTTAATTTTTTCCTTTAAAACACTTCTATATCCAAGTTACATTCATGTTTTTCCTCAGTCTTTTTAATTTTTCTCTCTTGTTCTTCTCTTTCCTTCTTTAACATTATATTTTCACCTTGTGGCCTCTGAGCCTCCCTTTCAGGAGGCTCCTCTCTTCTATGTGCCATATAACTGACTTCCAAAGCTGGTGAAATTTTATGCCCCCATTTTTCACATAAAAAAAATTTGGTTTTTAAATGTTACTGTGATGCAAACTTACTAAAACGATGCTTTATTTTGGCTGTAAGGTAAATATGTCTTTTGGCCTTTGTAAAGCTGTTGCATGTGGGGTAATTTCCCTCTGATCATCTGGTGCTCTTGAATACCTGCTGTTGCTGCTTTGTGATTTCTCCATAGGTTAAATATAAGAATAGAAATAGAAGCAGATTTTAAATCATGCTTGAGTATGCAGAAGTTTGTGAGGCCACAAGAACGTATTTAATTACAAATTAATTAAGCAATTAATCTTTCCAGATTTGTCATGCCAATATTGGCAGTAGCCATTAAGAAGAGAAACACAGACCTGGTCACGGTTCCAGTTTGAGCTGTCTTTTTGAGGAACTGAGGCCTGCACAGGAACCTTTTTACTTTCTTGTCGACTCTTGTTTCTATTGTAATATGTGATAAGCCAAATTGAGAACTATATAGATTTGTAGAGTCACTTTAGAATATTTATCAGTAGCTTTGCTTTTAATTATTGGGATTCATGGCAGCTCACTCAAATGAAATTGCTTCCTGTGATGTAGCAATCTTAACTTTGAGAGGAAAATATTATTTGTCAAAATATGAAGAGCAGTTTCAAAATAGATCTGTGAGAGATTCCTGGGCCTCTTCCACAATGGTACATGTTGACTGACTAATCTGGAAAAGGTTAATGATAATTACTGTAAGATATTTTTTTACCTGAAATTTTTATTGGAGTATTAAACTTATTTGGAGTCCTCTCCGTTTCTTTTCTCTGTAGGTTTACCCAAGAGAATGGTTCTGTTGCCCGTTATGAAATTCCCAACATATCCTGTTCCCCACTACTCATTCTTTTAGCAAATGACAGAAGCTAATTCCTATTGAACAACATTACAGTACAATACAGAATGTTAGAGAAAAAGCCTTTTTATTCTGCTTTCTTTGAACACATACTTGATCAAAATTATTTGTAAAGAACATCTTTCCTACTTTTTGATTTTAACAAATGCAAATTTAGTTCTCTAAAACTTGAAAACAAAACAAAAAAGAAACCAGTTCTGTGAAACGGTACCTCATTTCTGGAAAATAACTTATACCAGCCCTTCTGTTCTAAGAAAATAAAAGTCTAGCACTTCAAAGTTTAAGTTTGAAGAGAATTATCAGATTATGTAAAATTAAATTTGTGAAGGATGTATAGAGTCTCAAACACTGATCACAAATAAACTGCTTTGTTGTGACACAGAGTACTGCCTGGTTCCTGATGCAGTCCCTGATTCCCAGCTGATTGATATGTATTTGCCCCAGGGCACTTTAATTCGGGCTGTAGTTATTTTTTTTAATACAATAGAGACTTTTCATTTAAACTTTTAACTTTGTAAATATTGAAGTGTGTAATTAAAGCCAATAAAATATGGGTTTGAGTATTGTTTTAGCTTATTATTTTTGATATGTTTTGGTATCAAATTACAAGGAATTGAGACTAATAACAGCTTAGCCCTAGAAACCCATTCATTTGTAAGCAAACTGCTACAACAAAGCAAAGGCAGTTGTTAGTTTGAGCCAGTCTACTTACTTTGTAAGCTCTTTGTACTCCTGTTGTACAAGGGCATCCCCATGATAAAGGTTATATTCTGTTATCCAAGCAATTGCTTATTAAAATGATGGCACTACCCAGAGAATGGGGAAGGAGGAATGTGATTATTTAGTTTCCGAATTTCCAAGTTAAAAAAAAATAATAAATTAATTGATCAATCACCCTCTTTTGTTCTTGTGGCCTTCTTCACTCTGTTAAGATACTGTGTTCACTCCCTGGCCTTTTCATGCAGATAGAAGATTAGCTATTTTGCTGGGATTCATTGAAGGGTCTCCTTTTCCTCTTCAATTACATCAGAATCTAAAGCAGCAACAGGGTCCCCATAAAAACTTGCTCTTCAATTGTCCCAGTTCTTGTTGAGTGCTGCTGTGAAAAGTGACAGGTTTCAGCCATGGGTCAGCATTTATTTTTAAGACACCTGATTATGCTGGTGGAAATGGATCAGTCAGTAACATTGTGCTGTTCTGTAAAGGGTGCAGACCTAAGTTCTCCACTTGCATTCTCACCTTGTTTGGAAAGCTGATGATGTTACTAGAAGGTAATGGTTTCATTAAGGTACTCACCCCCATGAAGGTAGCAGCGGGTCCCTGTTGTTATTTCTAAGTCTCTGTGTCTTAAAAATGTCTGTTTTGAGTATGAATTAGCTTTTCTTTCACTATTAAATTTTGCTTTTTGGAATTGAACAGTGCTCATCAGTGAGGATGAGCTTCACAAATATGACAGAATAATGTACCAAATTCCTATGGTACCACTAAGTGAAGGTGAAATGGGTGATGTAGAACAAATGTTAGTGTTACTTTTATTTTATACAATGATTACTTAGTTTTTTTCTCTTTGACTTTCAGGCTTTAGTAGTGGTGGGTGATACCTTAATAAAACCTTGTCACTTGCTGGAAATAGCTGTAACTTACCATTCTCATCCTGTGCATTAGTGGTTAGACATAAACAAGAGGGCCCATTTCAGATGGGAATTTTCATGTTTCATTGATTCGTTTTGCTGACCTATGGATGAAACAGAGCCATCACTGAGAAGAAAAAGCATGGCTGATAGTGTCCTGTTTTTATTAATTAAATATTTATAATAGTCCTCTTTGTTTTTGGAATACTATTAATTGGCAGCTGCAGCTGTATTGTTATTTGAAATTGGATCATCAAATTTGGATTCCAAGTTGGAATCTCTGGAGATTTCTCTTCAGAAAATTCTTTTGAAGTAGCTGACTCTGCTTAAACTCAACCCCTCTCTAATGGTGAAAAGGGAGCTGTGCTGTTTTCCAACATGATGGCAGTCATTTCAAATGGTTTCTACCAAGTCTTTTTTTTTTTTTTTTTTAATTTTGTTGTTTGTTGGAAGTTACTAACCATGTTGTAAACCTGCCCAGTTGCTGCAAACTTTTACATTTCTCTGCTTTACTTAAAATAATCGAGCTGTCAGTCCTTTGTTAGAAGTGGTAACCATGCAAGTTCAACTGTTTAAATTCTGTAATGAATTAAGTGTACTCCCCCCCTCACCTGTTGCCCTTCCCACCCTCCATTTTGTAATGAAAATTCCACTTACAGCTGAAAGAGCAGAGAAATATAAATGAAGCTCTTGGCTTCACCAAATTGTGTGAAATTAACATAAAGTTTTGCTTCTCTGCTCTTTTCTCCACTGTAGGCGGTTTTTTCATTGACAGCCCCTATTGCCAACCTCTGAGCGTCGCACCATTTATTATTCACTTGGGCCCTCAAGATTTCTTCTCTGACTTCTAGAACCATCAGGTTGTCTGGCTTGAAATGGCAATTTCTATGTCTTGGTCTTAAGAGCAATGTGACACCCTGAGGCTATCCAGCTTTCAGATATACCACTCTGACACCTTTTTTGAAAGCAATGACTGAGCATTTTAAAGAAGAGCAATACATTGTTCAAAGCCACGGTGTCTGTTTTAAAACCTTTACTTTGGAAACTTAGCAATATCTATACTTACCCCCTCTTAGCATAGTTTCTCATCAGGGAGTTTACAGACCAGTGTAGAACTTAGAGTTAGCGTGTGAGCTGTGCTATTTTCTGACAGTTTTTAAACTTTTTTAGCACATAAATTTGAACAGTTACATTCCTGACTGCATCAGTTAGCACTATTATAATTTCTCAGAGATAGGGGTCCTCCTTTGAAGCCATATCCTCTGCATGGGGACTGGCGCCTAGCCAGGGATGTGGCCTGCAGCCTGTGTTTCTTCAGGCCTCAGGAACACCCCATCTTTTGTGCAAGGTAATTGGTCCAGTAGATTTCCAACATACCTCATGCTAACTAGACAGAATCCATGGTATGGTGAAACTAGGAGTCAGGTTCGCAGAGTTCTTGAAGTCATTTGTAGTCTACTCAGATTGTTAGCCTGGGGAACAAACCACTGATAGATTTTGCTGGTATTAGCCTTTTATTTTCTTCTTTTTTAAAAATTTGAGTGAATGTTTGAAAATCATGAATCGGTCACCATTATTAATTGAAGAGCTGGGAATACCTCGTTAACATATTTATAAAACTGGTGTTGGACCCTCTGTGTATTTCAGGTTAATACTTTTAAGCAGTTTTCAGCACGTTTATCTCACTTTATTCTCGTTCTCCTCGGACCTTCGTAGCCATATCACTTGTATAAAATAGGCTGAGATATAGTGACTGTAAGCTGTGATCTCAGTATACAAAGGTAAGCTCTTTTATTTTCTGATTAAAGAGAAAAATAATACAACATGCATATATGACAATCATATATGATATATTTGATCTCTTAGGTCTTATGTCATCACATTACCTTTAAAAATTTTATGGTCTAAATGTAAAATACTTATTTTTAAACACTTGTTTTAATACCCTTATAACTGCTTTATATTCAAGAGAAACATTTCACTTTCACTGTTACATGTGTAACGTGTGTAGAATGTGTGTAGAAACTTAGAATATAAAATGTATGTAAATTATACACACATACCTGTTTAAATATAAGACTTCAGTGGTAGGAACAGTTCACCTAAGAAGATTTTAATGACAGGGCACTCTTTTTTGGCCAAAGTGGTGGAATTCCATAAGCAGTGAGACTGGTAAGCAGTGCTGGTAGGATCCATATATATATGTAGCTGTTACATGTAGTACAAGCTGAGGATCAAAGTGCCAATTTCTCAAGGAGAGAAACTTCTCTGAGAAATGAAAAATCTCTGATCTGTGTTGTATTGCCTCAATACAACAACAGCAAGAAGCCATAAAAAAATAAAGCAATAGAACATGAAAAAAAAAAAAACCAAAATATTAAGGTAACTATGGAAAAATATATAATTGACTGAGTTAAGCTAATTACTTGCAGAATCAACATTAGCAAGACTCACAATGGTGGAATACCAAGTCTGCAGAGACCAAATAGACTTAAAGCAATTCATCTGTCTTTTCTAGGTTAGGTAGCTTGATTCCATTTTCCCCACCTTATTCAGCCATCATAGAGTTTGTTTAAAAGATTTGAGAGAGTTAGGCCAAATATTTTAATAAGGATTTGCTTCATTTACTATGTCCCATAAATTCATTTCATTATGTGCTAGATGTTCTGTGCTAAGGCTGTATTTGATATATAGATATTAAAATGAATTTCATGTTTTATATTTGTTTCTAAGTAGCAGTTTCTTTTGATTATTAACTTTTAAGGTTGCTGGAACAACTTTCTTTTCCATACAGAATCTATATGTACATAATGTGGCTTTGGCGTCCATAAAAAGGTTGTATGAGGTATAGCTGACTAGAACCAAGTGGTTCAAGCACTCTAGTCCTGCTTGAACAGCCCAGTACCTGTCATGAGGCGGGTTTTTTTTGGGGGGGGGAGGGGGCGGATACCAGTGAACAGAGGCTCTGACTATTGGAAACATTTTAAGCTTGAGAGTCTCCTTATTGGTAGAATTTGGCCTATTGTAAATATGTCCTGTTTATATCCTGTTGTGGGAGACAAATAGTGTGTTAGCTGTGGCAAAAAGAATATTCACTTAGTTAATAGCTTAATTATAAACTACTGAGTGATGTAGGCGCTTCTTCACCACTGAAATAGGCATCATGTGGAAATTTACCCATTTAAAATACTTTCTCAGCAATTTGGAGTGCCTGACACCTATTCAGGCTTATGTTAGGGGACCTCTTCCAAGTAAGTGAACTGAGTGAAGTGAATAACAA